CTGCTGCATCAATCACAGTGATGCCAATTTAAGACAAGCCCTATGTATTATGTGGGCTGTATCCACATAATATATATACTACCTGTATGGCCGAGGCTGTCCCATGGGCCACAACTGTGTGCCAATTGGGCCATAAGCCACCCATGGGCTGATAACCACTGGTCTAAGGCTTCATTATAGACACCACTCAGAGCTAGGAAATGCCCAGTGAAGGGGAAAGGATCCTATCCCTGGCAAGACACACTGTCACCAGGTCCTCACAACCCAACTCAGAACAGGGGCTTCTACTGCAAGGAATGAGAGACATGCTACACACCCAGTTCTTCCAACTCTTGCTATAAAACAAGCCCTCAGAGAAAAAGCAGCATGTGTGGATGGAGCATATATGTGGTGTGGGAGGGGGGTCGCTGGAGTGATTTTGAGGACAACATGCTGCAACCTTAACCACGGGGTTGCTGCTGCTTTAGCCTAGTAGCGGCTTTTAAAATTTCAGGGTGGCAAGACAGAGACCACTGGCACAGCCACAGGTAAGACCGACTGATAGAAGTTAGGCACTGAGAGACCAGGAAGCTACTGACGTAACAGCCCTCCCCAATATTACAGCAGCTATGAGCAGAGAAGACCCAGATGCTTCCATTCACCTTTGAACTCCAGCAGGACTTCCTTCAGGACGGCACTTTTCTGAGAGAAACTCCTGAGTCTTTTTTCCAACTCCGCAAACGCAGGCTCCGGCTTCTGAAACGTCCAGTTCTCGCTGCTGGAGAGAGAGGAGGAGGAAGGGTTAGAAACGGGCTTGAGGCCCAGCCCCAGAAAATTTGGGAGCTCTCAGGCCAGTTTGGATCTGAGCTTTGCAAGACAATCCCGGTTGTTGTGAGTCATGTGACTACAACACCATGCTCCGAATGGACTGGAACAGGACTTGGGGGGGGGCAGGAATGGAGACCTGTTTGGGAGCTCTCTGGATTCCCACTAGCCCAGTTCTCTCGCGCTGGGCTACTCTAGTAACAAGGGGCACCAATCCCAGGGTTATGTGGAAAGAAAGGAGACAGAGATCCAGAGTGGGTGTATCTCACGTAAAACACTAGGACCATAGACAGCGCAGGTCTCCAGCTGGGATAGAACCTGGGCTCTCTAACACCAAAAGACAAAGCCCCTACCACAGAAGCTAAAGGAGTAATCCCATTGGCTGTCACATAGCAACTAGCCCCTCTCTCCTTGCTATGGCAGCTGCTAGTGGGACACACGATCACACGTCAGCGTGTCGCACTCCATGGCTGCATATTCAGTGCTGTTTCCGAGCTGAGCGTGAAGGGGAGGGAGATGGAGCCCAGGACTTACCCGATCCTGCTGCCGCCACCACCCTAGAGAGGAGGAGAAAGAAAAGGCAGTCAGTGAATGTGTC